AATAAGCTATAGGTTGTAAGAATTTAGTACAAATTGTATATAAATTATATAACAGTTCACATAAATAAAGGCAGGACTGCTTATAAAAAAAAAAAAAAAAAGTATTAATTATTATAGATGAAATATCTGATACATGTACTTGTAGTATAATAAATATTTTTTTTTCTTATTAAGGTATTACTAAATTAATTAAAGTAGGTTTTTTAGATTAAGTTAACAATAGAACAATTGGTAAACTAATTATTCAAACATTAGTTTAATAGTCTATACTATTTGAATATCCTTATCTTATTGCTTCTGATTTAGCTGTATATATGAAAAAGTGTTATTGTAAAATTCTAAAATCACTTTTTTCACAATTAATTTATAGTTCTTGTTTAGCACATATTATAAACTTTATTGGTAAGGCTTAGATTTTTTGTAAATCATTTTAATATTATTAAAATATTGCTTAGTCAAATTAAATAAATATTTATTTTAAAATCATATCAAAGCTATTATACTTATTATCTTCAATATAATAAAATTATTACACCAAAAAAAGTTTTATTTCAATTCAAAACTTATTAAAATCCTTGATATTGAATAGCTTTTTATATTAATAAGCACTTGAATTACATTTATATATTTTATTAGCAAGAAAAAATTAAAAATTTGTCTATAGCTATTAGTGAAATTGTATCTATATTTGGAAATATTCAATTAAATAGTCTTATTAAAATCTATATATAGTTTATCAAAATCTATATACAAACTCTTATTTTAATTTTTAATTTTTTTTAAACAAAAACAAAACCTGTTTTTTCTTTTATTAAAACCTGCTATTCTAGCTTGGTTAATTTTTAATTAATAACAAAAGTTTGACTAATTTTGGAAATGAAATAAATATTTTAATCACTTTTCTTGATTTTTAGCCTAAAACTTTTATACATATTTTTCAAAGTATATTTGAAAAAGCTTATTAAAAATATAAAACTTATATTACAAACTATCTAGCTTATTCTTTTTTTAAAAATTCACAACTTTTTGATCCATACTTTATATCCTATATTCTGAGTTATTCTTGAGTTTATATCCTTTGAGTCTATTTCCTTTGAGTTATATTTGAGTCTTCTTTGAGTTTTATTTGAGTTTTACCTTTTGTATACATATATTCTTACTCTCTTCATATTAAGTCAAGTAGTATAGTTAGCAAGGCCAGCTTTCTATATTACAACATAGACATAGCTTCTTTACCAAATATGTTGGATAGAGTCAACCAAGTATGGGGAATTATTAAAGAGGCTATTATTAAATCAGCAAAGCAAAATCTCCCAAATAAGAAAATCAGACCTTCAAAGAGATCTGTTAGGAAAAAAAAAAAAAGAGAAAAACTTGTAGTTGATAGCTGCACAGAATTTGGAAAAGATTATAAGAGATATTAAAAGAGCAGAAAATCCACCTAATAGCAGCTTAGTTTTGCAATAGAACAGAGGTTTGGAGAAAATAAACAAGTTGATAGATAGTAAAATCACATTGGTCGCCAACTTTATTACTAAAAGCTGATTAGAAGAAGCAAAGGTATGGTAGAAAACTTTTGAAGGCAAAGTGGTCACTGAAGAAAATATGCGAATCAAGAAAGAAATTAGAGTATGTGTTGAAAGAAGAGTACAAATGATCGTTAAGAAGCAAAAACAAATGCTAACAAGCCTGCTAGAAAAATCAACCTTCAAAGTAACAATTGACAAAGTTTATACCGAAGAGGCAGAGAGTGCTTAGCTAGAAACGAAACCTAAAGAGGTGTTTAGGATTACCAAAGAGCACTTTCAAAATCAGTTTTGTAAAAGAAATACAAACATGGCCTTGCTAAATGGAGATTGGCACCAAGAATATAGTCCTATTGCATAGGTACAAGAGAATTGGTATGACTCATTACTCAAGCCAATCGAATTAGAAGAGTGGGAAGCAGTATTAAGGAATAGCAAGTTGAACTCAGCCCCAGGGATCTCAACAATCACATACTCATTTATCAAGCAAGCAGACAATAAGACACAAATTATTTTTAAAAACTTCGCAAATTTGTATTTCTGCAGTGGGGTAATACCAGATAAGTGGAAAGTAGCACAGGTGTATTTGATATCAAAGCGAACGGATTAGGAGTATGATCTAAACAAAATACGTCCAATAGCTCTGCTAGAAACATTTTGCAAGTGCATAACCAAGGTGTTAACAAAGCATCTTAGCAAGATTATAAGTGAAAAGACAATATTACAAGGTCCAAACTTCATGGGTTTACCTGGTAACTCAACTGAAGAGCCAATTCAAATATTAAATGCAGTAATAGAAGAGGCTAAAGAGTGGAATAAGGAGTTATGGGTCCTTTTTCAGGATATGAAGAAAGTATATGACTCAGTAAACCTTGAGATGTTGCAGAAAGCCCCCTAGAGAATCAAAGTCCCACTGATTATTTGTAGTTTTATCCTAAAAACCTTTTTAGAGACAAAAAGCTTAGAATAATTACAAATTTTGGCCTTACTGAAGAGATTGCTGCTGAAGATGGTATAGATCAAGGAGAAGTTATTTCTCCCCTGGTCTGGAGAATTTTCTATGATCCGTTGCTTAACAGAATACAGAAAGACAAGGAACTAGGATACACCCTTAAGCCATACGACAAAATAAAAACATTGATGGACTTAGATCATACAGAAGAGATCAAATAAGTGGCACTAGCCTATGCTGATGACACAGCCTGGTTAGCAAATTCAAAGCAACAACTGGAGTGTACAATAGCTTTGGCCAAACAATTTTTTAAGTTAAATGATATTAAAATAAATAGAAACAAATCCAAGCTAGTAGTGATTAACTCGGGTTTGGCTAAGCAGGAAAGGTGTATAGATTTTTGCGATACAAAAATCACAGCAGAAAGAAAATTATGTGATGTAAAATACTTAGGTGTTATGCTTCATACCGCAAAAGAAATAGGCAGCATCAAAAATAAGGCCAAAAAGATAGTGGGCCTTTTTTCGCACTTAATAAGGAAAAAGAAGGTTATAGCAAACCAATTAGTCTATATAAACAACCAAGTATTAATACTCAAATTAGAGTATATTTTACAGGTCATTTTACTTGCAGAGAAAGAAGTTGCAGCGATCCATCAGCCAATGCTATGTTTGTTTAAAAGAAAGTTAGGAATAGCTCAAACATGTCTGAACAATATTATATTGCATAACAGCAT